AAAAATTAATTTCTAGCAAATCGCTTGAATGGTTTGCGCAGAACACCAATTTTGCGAATCGATTTAAGGTATGAAATTACAGGAATATTTTCAAATGTTTCTTTGTTTGAGAGGCTGACTTGGAAGATTCAGAAATTTTACTTATCGATGATATCAATGTTTCTATTTTCATCGTTTGCTGAGAATAACTTAAATCTAATGCGAATCAATTTTATAACGAAGTACTTGAATAATGACTTCGAAATTTTCAGGGCTTGATTTGCCAACCCAGAAAAATGTTTACCTTTTACCAATTTCGAACTTTATAGTATGAATGAAGCGCACTCAATAACTTGCGCATTGATTTAAAAGTTTTGAAATATGAACCTCAGTATTTTACAAACCGAATCGCTAAGAATAAATATTTATTTAATAGGAGGCGGGCTTGCTAGTTGAAATAATTTGTTCCCAGGTCATTGTTATTTTAAAGCACTTTTCTCATTTGGAGCTTATGATAAAAAATTAATATTGATACATAAAACAGCATTTTCAAATTCCTAACAGTTACCAAGTGTACATAAACGAAATGAATTGGCATCAATTTTGGTTATATTTTTGTTCTTCTTGATAGCTTGACTTCAAAGTAATAGGTATCTTTTTTGAAATAATTCGCTTACTATGAGGCAATTACGCTCGAGTTTTTTTCCAATTTATGGGTGAGCGTAATTGCCTCATAGTGAGCGAATTATTTGAAAAAACATACCCAATACTTTGAAGTCAAGCAGAACAAAAATATAACCAAAATTGATGCCAATTCATTTCGTTTATGTACACTTGGTATCTGTTAGGAATTTGAAAATGCTGTTTTATGTATCAATATTAATTTTTTATCATAAGCTCCAAATGAGAAAAGTGCTTTAAAATAACAATGACTCAACTTTTATTTAGTGATTTTTCAGGTGGTTATTAATCTTCTAGAAATTTAAGTGAGCTAGAAAATATCTAGCATTTTACTTTTCTCAAAATCATTATTTTCACCAAAAAATGTCAAGTGCAAAAATACTTTCAATTTGAAGAGTTAGAGCGTGATTAAACTTTTTTCATTTAAAGTTTGAAAAAAAAACAGTGAAGACGCTTACATGAGTAGGGCGTGTTTCTAATGAGAAATGCCTTCTAATGTTTTTGCGCTTAAACTAGTATTTATGCGGTCTGACGTTTGCCTTCCATTTGGCAAATGATAATGTAGTTTCAATCTGCGGTTTCCAAAAACAAAATGTAAATAGCGCGAAAGAACTTCAAAACGATTAACAATCTTTCCTTCAATCAAAATACGTATATATTTATTGTTGTCCTTCAAGCGACGTACAGTGCTGATTTAGATTATCCGGACAAAACGATCAAAACTTGAATGTTCGAACGCGTTTTTCTCAAATTGGGTTAAGATTAGACAAAAAAAGAAGAGAACAAAAGTTGCTTAGAATTTCCTCTCTTAAACTTTGTTGGGCTGTGTAAGAGGCTTCTTGTGATATAGTGTTCTTATCAATTAACAAAGTAGTTACAGCGTAATTTTTGATTGTTTGAAAAAAAAACCAGTGACCCATTTTTGGGGTAATATCTTGGTTGACAATTTCGGAGAAAACATTACACCATATTAATTCTGAGGAAATTCTAAGCAACTTCTGTTCTCTTCTTTTTTTGTCTAATCTTAACCCAATTCTGTTTTGTTCTTTATGTCCGGATAATTTAAATCTGCACTATTATCCGGCAACTAAATCGATACCACTAGACGAAACCATTTAAGCGAGAGTCTAAAGCGAAAAATAGAAAAACCAGTTTCCGAGTCTCGAAATTTTTATCTATGTCGTAATCGTCTCCACGCCATTTGTGCTCCAAAAATCTATCTTTAAGAGCAACTGAATCGAAAAGCATTTTAAAATAAATATCAAAAGTTGCACCTCATTTTCAAACAACAGTGGGACTTAAGAATGGAATCCAGAATGTTACGAAACAGCTGACATTTTAATAAGTTTCCTCCAACGAGAACGTAGCCTACAAATATAAACTGACAAACGATAAGCTGAAAATTCAGAAAATTTCCAGTTTTTAAAAAAGTAGTTCTCGGACGGAGGTCTTCTCGAGCGTGGGTATTTACCTTTCCCAAAGGTGCTGATTGGTTGATTGAATTTGAACTTATTTTACAGCAAGTTGGATCACGTGTTACTTCTTCTTTCACGTGTAACGTCCGAGTTTGAAGAAATTTTTTTACCGGAAAAAGTGTCAAATTGTCAAACCCTGTTCTATTACCCTAATTTATCGCAAAATTATTAATTAAATGTTGGTTTCTCTATATCTCTTTTCAATTGTTTCTGTTTATTGCACCAACGAAACACTAAAATTTTTAGGAAGAAAAATATCCCCAAAGATCTCATGCTGACAAACGCAAGCAAAAATTGAGTCAAAAATCTCAATCATGATTTTAAGATGCAGTGTTTCATGCATTTCATTGAATAAGTCAATAAAAACAAATATAACGAAAGCAGATACACGGTACTGAGAAACTAATTGTCTAAAGCATGAAAATTTGTTTGTGATTTGAAAATGATTTTGTTTCTCAGTACTGTGTATCTGCTATCGTTATATTTGTTTTTATTCACAAACAAATTTTTATGCTTTAGACAAATAGAGGGCAGTTTGTTTACCTTCGCTGCGTTTTCAAAAAACTTAAGTTGGATAGCATAATGAATTTTTTTTGTATGTGACCACATACAAAAACATTTAGCAAAATTGAAGAAAACTTGATCAGCTTCTTAAACATTCAATAAACAAACAATAAGAAAATAAGTATTAAATATTAAAACTCCAATATAATTTTTTAACGAATTTGTAACCAACACACTCGCATTGTTGCCACATAATTCAACAAACGGTTCGAAAGCGAAGTGGAGCATTGCGACACTTCCGATCAACGCAAACTAGCTGACAGAACGTGAGGTGCAACCACTGTCGAAGAAATTGAGCAATACTAATGCATTTTTCTCGCAAAATCTTCATTTTGAGGAAAACATGCTTGTTAACTCATTCACGCCGATGAACAAGCTTTCAAAATCATTTTCTGGCGACAATTGAGCTGAAAATACTTGGGTAGGCACCACTCAAGCCGAAAATAAAATGTCTCTTGACGCAAAATCATAGCAATATAATTTTCTGTCAAACGACGCAAGGTACGGTAAATAAGACCATATTAAATAAACCTTTCTGTTTAAGCAAACAAAAGATAACCTGAAAACAATTTTATACAAAATCAGAGTTGGTAAAATTTCAGGAAAATGATGCTTTGAAGAATATAAATTTATGCTTTTGAAAGTAAGTCGACAAAATATTAGCAGAAAAACACTAGTTCGGCCGAAATTGAAGTTTTTGCCGAAAATTTTGTATTTTGACTCATTTAACAAAACAAAAGTTCCGGCCCGAGTCTTTGACCTTATGTACCGAAGACGTGTGCTTTTAATTTAGACCAAGTGAGAAGAGCCTGGATAATGTCATTCCAGGACAAAGCATGCTCAATTCCGATAGAATTGTAAGGTTGTTTACAGAACACAGATCTGAATCCCCATTATAAATACAGTTAATCTCGCAAATGAAACAAGACTGCTCGTATCAGGGCGAAGCCCTGAATGTTCCGACTGCCTTTTAATGTTTACGGAGCAGTAATAACCTATAAAAATGTAATAAAATTAATTGAAAATTTCTTTTCTAAAATTTGAATTTTTTTATGAAAATCATCCCCCCACACGCCATATAAAGCAAAAAGGATAGATTTCGCTTCTTTTAACAAATCAATTATGGCAAATAAGCTTCTTTCAACCAATTTGGAACGATTTCTAAGACGGATTAAATCTCCGCTTACGCTTTAATAGCGCGAAATATATCGCGCATTAATTGTCCCAAATTGGCCAAAATGGCAATCTTTAAACCCCCATAACTTTACGAAAAATGATCACAAGTGAAATATCTTTTCAAATTTAAGTTCAGGACAACAAAACCTTTTGAATGATATTTAAAAATTCCGTTAAAAATGGCTATAGTTAAAAAGTCGAAATTTGTCTGAAGAAAAAAAAACCCACCACGAGCGCAAATATTCTGTTACTTTTGTATCGAAAGTCGGAACAATAAGCTAGCAATTTCCACAATTTCTTTGCCAAAAAGTTAGAAAAAAATCATAAAAAACGCCATACCTCAAAAACCACAAGTGTTTAAGCAGTCATTTCACGAAGCCACATATTCAACCCCTGTGTGACAGCACCTCACTATAGGGTTTAAAATAGCAATTTTGATTAAAAAAACTGAAACAAAATTCTTGTAAGTACAATGCGAATACGGGAAAAATGTAGAGTTAGTGCATTCGAGCTGCAACAGATTTTAAAACGTCGACTTAAGTAAGCATTCAAACCCTTGTAATGTTTTGGCCTTTTAACAAATCAAAATTGGGACTTCCTAAACAAGTGCCAAGTAGAATTTCTTAATCATTGCAATATATGATATAGCTTAAACGTGCAAAAATTCTTTCGTTAAGCCCGTAAGGATAATACGTTGAAAAAGCTTAAACATGTCAACACATGTAGTTCTTAAACATGAGCTATCCTTACGGGAAACTGAACCCACCGTCTGCTGCGTCAGAGGCTACAGGCTAACAGATAAACAGCCTAATCAGACCATTGGTCCAAGCAGACTTGAATAATAATTGACTTTCATGCATACTTGACCAGAAGCAATGTTTTCACGTTAACTGTGATGCTTTGCTGATACGATGGTATTAATTGAGTTAATACAGTTTTGAAAGTCCCATATTTTATAAAAGTATGCTAAATGAGTTGATGGCTTGTGTATCATTTAGTCGGAATTTAAGCTCAGGACAACGAAACCTTTTGAATGATATTTAAAAATTCCGTCAAAAATGGCTAGTTAGAAAGTCAAATTTTTTCTGAAAAAAAAAATTTGACAATGTTTCTCTTAACTATTCGTTTTGGAGTAGACAACAAAATAGATTTTAATTCAACAAATCAATTTCTTTATCGCAATTTTAATGTCGCCACTTATGCTACATGGAAAAAGTGATCTAGATGGACATAGTGATCATTAAATTTCTAAACTGTTTTAAAATGTCCAGCCAATCTTGGCAGTTTGTAACGTCTGCTTTTAAGGATCTTGCGTACAGAGCTTTCAGCTTGTCTCTCGATTGCACGTCATTTTTGATCCCACTATTTTTCTTGGGACCTGCTGAAGACGAGTAGAATTTGAAACTGAAGAGCAGAACTTTCCTGATTTGCTGAATGAACACAGTCGATAGAGAATGTTTTTCAAAATCTAGTCTTTCCAGGGCTGCGAAGGCTTCGCTCAGAATAGCCACTGATGTGTTGAGCATTTTGCAGATCAGCTTAGGAATTGTTGCACCTGAAATGATTTTAATGAGTTGCATCAAGTTATCGTTTAATTTTATCAATACAATCTCTTCCATTCCCGGCAGTCAAATTGGATCAATTGAGCAATCTCTCACCCCCCCCCCCCATTCTCGTGTGGGGGGAGATAGCTCAATAGGTAATTGAAACATGTTTATAACAACCTAAAAATAGTTTGATTGAAAAGAAATCATGAACCAGACTCTCCAACGAATGTGGAACGCCAAAATTTACAATATCAAAGCTCAAAATTACATAACAAAGATTACATGGAATCGATAAAACTGGGACACATAAAGCTAATTTTTTCTGCCCTAAATGAAAAAAATCTATTGCGTACAAATTAAGGTGCTGTGGAGAACAGTTTTTGGTATTGAAATACAAGGCTAGTACACCAACCCTGGTAAATTGCTGTTTTCGATGAGGCAATGGACAAAAATTTGCAACATTTTTTTTTCCAAATTTTAATTTTTTTCAGTTATTCACAGTTTCTCCTGATATTCATAATGAAATAAACTTCAGTCGGTAAATTGATTGCGTACTACGAACACATCTAAAATCTACTCGCTTTTGCTGACGACTTTTTGTAGCGTTTGATCGTTTTTGCTGGGGGGGGGGGGGGGGGTGAGGTAACTCAATTGGCCATAACGCGGGCGGTGGGAGGGAGGAGGGGAGATTGCCTAATTGATCCGTCAACTTTGACCAATCTTTTATTACTTTTATCATCAGGTTTGTTTATATGAGAAATATTTATATTGTTTTAATATATCTCCAAAACAAACTAAAAAATCGATCCTACAAAATTGCGTACCTAAATTCTGTTAGCACCTTTTTTTCGATCTTATGTCCTAGCGTGATCAAAAACCACCATTTTTTAGAATCACTTAATTTAATTCTGAAATTTAACCTTTACAAAACGACTCACTGTTCAGTTGAAATTCTAACAAAGCCACTCTTTCCAGTTGTACTCTCGCATACAGGTCATCTCGGTCCAGTCGTGCATTCTCAATCTCAGCTGAACCTGAGCTCTCCTCCTGCTCCCTTTGGTCCACGTGGAAACAATCAGCCGCCTTCGAGTAGTGGAATTCTGCCAAAGCATGCATTGACTTCTCCGCATTCTCGTCGAACCTACATGGAAAAACCGAAAAACTCAAAGTAAACCTAAGCATAACTCAATTAAGACAACTCACAATCATAGTTTTTTAAATGAACTCAGATAATTTGGCATTGGCTTGCCTGCGGCAATTCCATTAAAAATATAATTTTTAGTTTTTATTAATCCAATCTTTTTTATAAAATATAAATAGGCACTCTCTAAACAAGCTCTGTTTGTACAAGCTCTACAAATGATATGTATTTCAGAGGATTCGTTTTTTCTCGCGGGAATCCTTTACCTGTACGCATGATGGTACAAAGATCCCAAACGTTGATGAATTTCTCCTAGGCGGATCAAGTGTCTCTCTTTCAACAAGATATCATTTTCTGACACTTTTTTCTCGCATATATTGGGTGGCGGAATGCAATACTTCATAGCTTTTGTCAAATTGTCAATGACTTCTTGCTTTGACCTTTCTCTCTCTTTCGGTGTCTGAGTACTGGCGTTGTCTTGGACTAGTCGTCCTAAAGTGAAATATGTAGTGCATAGATCCCATGTCATTCCACTGACTAAATTCGAGTCTCCAGTGTTCTCGAGATTAACCAGCGCCTGTCTGTAATAATCTATTGCCTGCAACAAAAATTTGAGATTCAACATTGCGCCCTTTTAAGTATTTGATTGCTGCCTTTCTGGCGGTATCACACTTCAGAAAAACAAATAAATGCTTTTTTTTCTGAAAATCTACACTTAACTAACCATCGATCTCAATACAACGCAAGCAATAATTCTATGACCTGTTCACCTTGTAATAGTAGCTTTTAACCGCCGATGGCACCCCACTTTCTTCAACTGCTTTATTGGTATCTGAAACTTCGTCTTCCTGCTCCGTATTGCCAGTCGGAGATTTCTGTTCACTCGTGCTTTGCAAGTTCAACAAATACGCCCATATTCTACACAGACGTCCGGTGTTTCCGACCACCAATCCAACGTTGGCCCGGTCTCCGATCTGAGCGAAGTAATCGTGCGCTTTTTCGAAGTGACTCTTTGATAATTTCAGAAGATCTTCCGCTTCATATGGAATTTCACCTGAACATATAAAAACAGTCGGCTAGCAGAGTCGGAAAAGGTAAATATATATTTTTCGAACTAATTTTTTACACATTTTTAAAGCAGAGGCGAAGCGGGGCTTCGCATCACTTGCGATACAACACAAACATGAAAAAAAATTAGAAGTACAAAAAAATGTTGAGAAAAACTAGGTCTACTAAATTTTTCCTTTGTCTCGATAAAATTTCAATCTAGGCAAACATGCCAAGCAAAACATTTTTAAATTAGCAACGGAACAATACTGACGAAGCGGAAACAGAGCCGACAATTTTTGAGCAGACACCAGTAGAGCCGAAAAAAAAGATTTTGTAAAAAACGTTTCGAGCTTCCCAAAAACACAATAACAACACTTGCAACTATAATGAACATAGCCAACTGACAGTTGGAAAAAAGAAATGAAGGAAACTGAAAAAAAACGACTTGTTTTTTTCTTAAATCTTCAACTTATGAATTTCGAAGAAAAAAATAGATTGCCTTAAGGCTCTTTGAATTTCTATAACAATTTATAATTAGCACTTTTTTGATATAGCTAACCCAATTTGAGAAAACTGGATCATTGGGTTAAGTTTTTATTCCGCTGGGGAACCTGATACGCTTTTCGTGATTTTTACATTCGATAGTGAAGTTTGCCTTCCTTTTACCAAAGGAAATGAACTGAACTTAAAAAGAAGTTAAAAGCCAAACCGCAAAAAAGTAAATTCGAGCCTGAACCAATTTTCCTGCAAAAAAAACTTAAAACAAATCATCGCGACCTATGTCTGAACTAAAATCGTCGACTTAGAAAAACTGGCATGGTCGTGGATTCGAACGCTTGATCCTTCTCGAGATAGCCCCGCTCCTTACCACCACACTACTGAACACAAATTTTCAAGAATATTACCTTCAGCTAAAAAGCAAGCTATCAAATGATTCAGTGATTCTGTTCAACTAGTTGTTAGTTAGAAAAAAGTCTAAATTACAGTTTGATAACGCTTGTTCAAAGTTTATTACCTTAGAACTCTTTTAATTTCAAGAATATCTGGTTAAGGAGAAGGTATTTTCTGATTGGTTTATTGGTCACTTACAAAAGATTCTTGGTTTATTGGTCACTATTAAATTAAATTAAATTGGTCGCTATTATTAGTCTTTAAATTAAAGAGTTTCAAGGTCATTAACTTTGAAGTTCGAAAATAAATAAGTAATTTTCAAGACCCAAGTTTTCTTATCCCTCTTGGAAATAAAAATTCACTCTCGAAACTGAAAGTCGTTCACGTTTTCTCTCCGCATCATTTGCTAATATGCAAGTGGAAAAAATAATTTACCTGTTTTCCAACAAATTGAAACGAACTGAAAAAAGTCACGAATCAAACCGGGAAAAACAACTTTAAGACAATTTTTAGGACTTTTCCTTACAAAAAAGAACAAAAAAAGACAAATAAAAATCTTCCCTTCATTAATTGGCACTTGAAAAAAACCTGAAACAGCTATTTTTGACCTCCGACTGAAAGACATGTTTGATATTTGCCTCATTTGAGAAAAATGTGCGTTTGAAACTAAGGGTCAACGAGGTTTTTGCGATATGTTTATTTTCTTGTTGGAAAAGATAACTTGCATTCTACTCACTAAGAAAATAAAATTGAAAGTCATAAAGAAAATAGAAGTTAGACCACCGAAAAAACTAATTTGAGCGTTATCATCTTTAAAGACTCCAGTACAAAAACGGCAAAATCACATGGACTGATGGAGTCGCCATTCACTACTTTCTTTAGCACTTACCAAGACTGCTCGATTCAAGCTCCTGCGAATGTTCATAACATTTAGTCCATAATTTAGTTCATAACTTAAAATCAAACTTTTTAAGAAAAATTTTTAAACGAAAATCGTCCTCAACAGACAAAAAATGTTAGTTTAAAACTGACATATTTTGAGAACATAAAAATATGGAAATTCGCTCGTGTTTATCCTTGTCAACTGGCTATTTTTAAACCTTTAAATCATCGCAGGTGAAATATATATTTTTAATTGAGCGCAATGCATTCATAAAATTAAGTGGTATGACAAATTGCGTCTAAATTAGTCGCAAAAGATCTTACGGAAAGCAAAAAATTACCACTACTCAAGCAACTCAAGCAAGTATCTTTCAAGCAAGAGCGAATCAGTTGGCGAAAATTTCATGTTTTTTAGGCAAGCTATTTCAGTTATTTCATAAAAGTAATCAGAAAGCGAACAAATAAGGTTTTATATTGGAGCCATTCAACCGAAGAAAATTTAGAACATGTTATTTTATAGACCGAATTGGTTTTCGAAAGATCATGTTCTTATTTGAGCCAATCAAATGACGAAGCGTGGAATAATTCAAATTATTTCATAGACCAAATCGGTTGTCGAAAAGTTAAAAATTTTTCTAATCAAGCCATCAAGCAATGTGTTTTTGAAATATGTCACAGCGAAACGTTTGAGTTTTTCTATTAGAGCCATTCAACCGATGAACTTTTCGATTTCAGAAAATTCAGTTTATTTCATCTAGTTCATATAGAAAAAGTTAAAAAATGTTCCCGAACCGATTCAGTCGATGAAATAAACTGTTTAACTTTTTCTAAGCAAGCTATTCCAGCTAGGAATCTTGAAATATTAAGTAATTTCATGGTTCGAATCGGTTTGCTAAAATTGGTTTTTCTAAGCATGGAGGTTGCTGTTTTTTTAGTTGATTCCGTTCAGACTAAAATGAAGCTGTAACGCAAAAATTTGGACAAAAAATAAAGCGGTTACTGTCTAGCTGTGAAGTTAAATCGAGTTCAACTTGTTTAAGGACTTGAGAATAAATGAAAGATCTAAGAAGTTCGTCACTAAAGGCTGCTGAAACATTGAGCTCGATGGTTGCTCTGAACGAAAGAAAACTTGTGCTCGATAGAAAAGTAGAAACGTTGGGTCTATAGTGCATTAATACTTTCATTCAATATATAAGACAAGATTCAATACCTTAATGATATGTGTAAACAACAAGAAAACGCCTATAATGAAAATCAAATACGGAGAGAGGAAAAAACAAATTCAAATTTTACGAATCAGCTGAAAAACTGAAATACTAAGCAAAAGATGTCTTGTTTCCCCAAATCGCATCGCAAAACGTACCACGTGGAGCGGAGGTTAAGGGGTTACGTCTCCGCCTCTCAATCGAAAGGTAGGATTTTCGAAGCCCAACATGATTCGTGCTCGTTGCTTGAGGGTGAGGCATATTACCCAGCCCAGAAAAACAACCAAAAAAATTGCATGAAATTCTTAAGCAGGGGGACATCAGCGGTTTGCCGTGATCAGCTGTACAGCTCGACGTATGTTGGTCCTTTCCCACGTGGATAAACGGTCTTTACACAGATAACTAACCTGTTTCAGAAACTGAAGAACATGACGCCATCAGCCTGTTCTCATACATTCTGCCCAACTCGTTGTTAACATTGCCCATTCGTTTCAACAAGTAGCCCTCCCCTTTGAAAGCCCACTCTTGTACGTCTATTGCGGCAGGCGATTTCTTTGCAATTCTTACCTCATTTGTCGAGCTCGGTTTTTTATTCAACTTTTCGGAAGAATTTTTTGAGCGGGATTTCTTTGATCGGCTTTGATCAGATTTACTTAACGTGTTTTTCTGCTGTTGTGTTTTGTAAGTTGAGCTCCATTTCTGTTCGAGGACATTCGAGAATTCGTCTCTTGTGTTTTTGGCAAGTGAAGAATAGTTAGTCGTGGCCATATGATCTCGACATATGTTGTAGATTCCAGCCGCCGAATCAATACATCTCTCGTAATCGCCGCATATTGAATGTTGGTCCATTTTGGCATCTAAACACAAAAACATTCTTGAAGCATGAACGTTGCGCAACATAGGAGCTTGTATCATGTGATTAATATAAAAAATAACAAACCAGATCAAACGGGTCCAAAAATTATTTTGCTTAACAAAGACTGTTGGAAATGGAAGTTTTGACAACTATTTACGACATTTCTGACTATTCGGAACACACGATCAGCGTAACCAAAATATATTTTCTTTCGTAAAACAGAAAATTTTACTCACAAATTTCATTGTTGTCCGGTGTCAAATAACACGACAACTGAAGTTCAATCTCTGTGTGACCTTTAGTCGCCTCCTCAATATGCAGTTCCGCCTGCTCTGGACTTTTGGTGCAGCTCGCAAAGAACATGAAAACATCACCCATCAACTGTAGAATCTTTCCCAACAGCAAAGATCCTCGTTTGGCATCTTCAGTTCCTTTTTCATCCTGTTTTTCTCCACTGGTTTCGTCGCATTTTAGCTCACTTGCAACTCCAATTGAACAGCAGGATGAAAGTGCAAGTTTCAAATAGCGAAAAGCACGTCCATATTTTCCAGTTTCGAAGAATTGGAGCCCAAAAGTGGACAAAATGACAGCTAGTTTGTATTGCAGGCTGCATCTGATGCTGTCTTTCCATGTTTTAGCAGCATCTACTGAGATCAATGACGTTTCATCAGATTGATCAGCGTTAGATTTTGGGAGATCAGAGCTCCTAAAATGTTTTTTTTTTCCGAACAAAACCTTTAAAACATTATTTATGTCATTCTTTTTTTTTGGTTTTTGAGTTGCCTGGACATTGAACTTGATATACAATATATTTTCTGCCAAAATTTTCATATAAATATATGTTGGCCCCTAAAGTTTTGACTAACCTGTGCTCGAAAGAGTATGAGTCCAGAAACTGGAAGCACTTCAAAGTGTATTCTAAAGCCGATCTGCATCTCTCCTCGATAGTCAAGTCCAAATGCGAGTATTCGTGTGCCTTGCGATGCTCTTTTATCAAACTGCGATCTGATTTATTCAGCAGAGTCTTTCTCTCAATCGAAACACCCTTATATACATCCGACTCTTGCCCGTCTGAACTATTGGGACCCTCTCCAGGTTTTTGGGATCCGCCAAGGTCCGGGCTGTTTGTTCTGGTGGAAGCGTCGTCTAAATCGGTGTTCAGACTGTCTCCACACTCGCTTCCAAGGTCATCCACACTTTCCGTATCCTCGCTACTTCCGGAAGCCCAGTCTTTCCATGGTCCGGACGGAATATACAACTGAACCAGTAAGAAGTAAATACATCCTTCCAAATTTTTGAACTGCGCATCTGCGGAAAAAGAGGAGCCTGCTGAGGACGTAGTTTCGGATTGCGTCCTAACGTCACGAATGAGTTTTAGCGCATTGCGTAACAGCGAATAAACGGTATCACGCACTTTTGAAGACCTGCAACATAATACATATTACAAGCTATGCTTGTGTAATGACTACAAGGTTGCCAAATTGTTACTCGAAACAAACGCCAGCGCTTTTTTGACAACCATTCGCAGAACTTTCATAACTTTTGACAACAACTGGCATGATCCTTCATAATAATTTTTCTCTTTTGTGTATTTACCTTTCGCTGTCATGTGAGAATTTGGCCACCAAATTCTTAGCCACTCGGTAGAGCAAGAAAGCCACTGGAATTGCAAATGGGTTGTGCATGGCCTGAGAGGATCCCAAAGTTTCCTGCTCGTTCGAAGTGGTCTCGCAGATTGATGTCAAGTCGTAGAGCTTCACGATTTCATCACCGTGTGGTTTGAACAACCAGTAAGTGTGTCCTTCTTTCGTGCAGTTGTTATTCAGGAATGAGAGAATATTCTGTGCGATGTCTCGAACTGCAGTCGGGGAAAATTTGCTCGACTCCAAGTTTGGAATGTCCATAGTTTTGTAAACCTCGTATTTCTAAGCGTACCAAATGAAATTTATTTTGAAAGTGTCTTAACAAATTAATTCAACTTTCTGCTCAAAGTATCACTTTTTTGGCTCCAATTTTTGATTCAACAACTTTCCGTCAGTGGAGAAACCTAATTGAACATACTCACTTGCACAATTCCATTAATATGAAAGCACATGGCCAATTCCGGCACATTGCAAATCAAGTTATCCAGCCAGTAATCTAGTCCAGTCAACACATTGATGGGCTTGGAATCATCATGCAGTCTCAAGCTGACAACTGGGTGATCGGCGCCTCCAAAGATGGGCAAGTTACTTCCCAATAACATCTGCATATTTTCAAACTCCCATAAAACAGTTCGCGAAGAGTCCTCAATTTTCTCGGCTTCAGAAAGTCCTGCGATTTTGAGGTTCGGTTCGGGTAGATTTAGAATCTCGTTGTCGGATGGAGGAGCTATGACTGTTTCTTCCGAGAAGGAAGACTGGGACCCGAGCATCTTTGGCACGCTGTAGTGGAGGAATTTGGACATCATGCTGTGCTCCATTGCCGCTGGAGTTGATCGACCGTATGGTCTCTTAATATGAAGATTCTGCAAAAAAAAATGAAAAAAAAAATTGCTACAATTATAGTGATTAAAATATCTTGTACAAAACTTAAAATAAAGGTTATAGATTCAAATGAGGATGAAAAATGTTCATAACAGGAATGCAATACATTTGATTAAAATTCGTGCCAATTAAGCTCACCTTTCTTTTGAGATCATCCAAGACATGATTCTGGACAAACTCTCGAATCCATTGCCACTCGGTTTCCTGCAAATAGAACACATTAATTATCAAAATCAGTTTCATGTAGTGTGATCTGATTGGCTGCTGTTTAACATCAAATTAACCTGTGTGGCAATTAGCAGAGCAAGGATGTCGAACTCATCCAGTAGAAGAGTCTTTCCGATTCGGTGCACAACGATACTCAACTGACGCTTGTCTTAAACATCATATAAAAGACATAATCAATATTTAACTTAAGCTGTTGAATCTTCAATTGAATTCTGTTCAGTACCCTTCACATACGAAAAGTACAGAGAAAGGCAAAACGAAGTCTGGTTAATTCGCTTCCTATATTCAGAAGTTTTATTTAGTTCATTATGATAGCCGGATCTGTATGATAGCCGAAAATGAATGTATGAAAAGGCGGCGTGTCGGGCCAGTGAAACTCTGGAATGTAGGTTAACAAATACGCAAGCCGTTTCGAAATATATATTACACCAAAAGCTTCAGGAACCCAACTATCATAGTTCTAGGAACCCAACTATCATATTTTTGAAGCCCTGAGGCGAAGGATGCAGGAACGAGCAAAAATACATCCTGCCAATCAATCATGCACACAAAATTTATTCAAATTTCAATTTCCGGTCCTTCATTAGCCACTTATCTGCTGAATTATCACAACAGCTCATCTTTCTTACCAAGATTCATTATCCTCATTCAAACTCTCGTCCTGTTCTGAACTACACAACTTAAGCGTCTTAAGTCTAAGCAGCACAGACATGAAAAGCACATATCTGCTGTTCCCAGGCCTTCCTCCATCATTTTTAACCCAGTAAACAATTCTTTAGTAAATCTGAAACGTCCCAACTTACCAAATGGAAGACGAATAAGTTTCTTCACAACATCAGAATGAGCAATGACATCTACGTCGCCGACCATATCCACGTTATTATACGCCATGTTGAAACTGCCTCCAGGCGCCGACACCAAACTGAGCGGCTGAGACGCGGCCGCAGTTGGTCTCGGAATGACTGGATTAGAAGTGGATCCCAGCGTATCCAGAGAATAGTCTTTCTCATCCAACAGCCAGTCTTCCGGTATTTTGTGCAGATCAGTCTGTGGGGCTACCTTGTTGAACTGATCCGGAAGTTTGAAGGGGTCAAACTTGACAACTGCCGTTGACTTTAAACTATTCTCCGCCATGTCTCGAAAGGCCGATTATTGGACGGATCCGAATTTCGATAACTTATCGCGATAATCAATTTAAGGTAACAATAACTATCTGAAGATAAAGAATTCACCAATAAAGTCTTCAGATGAACTTTTCTGGTCGATAGAATTCAACTGACCACTGTTTTACAATATATTGTATCGTAGCTTCGGTAAAAACACAAATGAATTACGCAGTTGAACAGATCGCATTGTAGGAATATTTTAGAACAATTGGTTGCTAGAACATTCTAGAAATGCTGCATATATGCATAATGCAACTCAAAGCATAGCAAAAAATAGTCAGTACTTCACATACCAACAACCTGAATGGTGCTTTTCTTTCTCTCGTAATCAGAATTAAGTGGGAATAACCAAAAACGAAGACAAAGTTGCAATGCAATATATGGAGGTGGTGGGTGCAATAAGCAGAATGGTCTAAGAGCAGAATGGGTCCAAGAGCAGAAAAACATTTTCCTTTTATTAAATTATACGGTCTAATTGATAAAACAATTATCAGAATTGTCAATAAAACCAGAAAATGAATAAATTATGCCAGAATTAAATAATTTCATCAATTTTATTGTTGATTTTTTAACAAAAAAAAATTCTCGATTAAATAACTCAAATTACACATAAAATATTAGTTTCTTTGGTAATAATGTCTATTCTAATATTTAACTTACCGATTAGCTTTAAAAAATTAATGTTCTTCTGTTTTTTTTTGCTCTTGGACCCATTCTGCTTATTGACTGGCCACCGCAATATATGCTTTTCCACTCGAAGAAAGTCAGCATTGCATAAAGAAGAGGTTTGGCGGGGAAATTGGATCTACTTAACAATCTTCCTCCCTATTGTACCTACTAAAGAATCTCCCCATCTTTCTTGAAGGGGGCGGGGAGATTGTTAAGTAGATCCGGGAAATTTTATCCTTTTAACTTCGTCTTGTCTTGACCAGTGTAGGCAAAATAGTGCATTTTTTCCGGAAAAAATGGTTGAAACACCTTACCGGTACAAGTGAGATAGAGGGGTCCCAAGAAACTAACCGGGTCCCTAATGTAAATAAAAGGTGAATTCCCATAGGTCCCAATATTCATAGCACCCAAAATAAAAAATCAGTCGCATAAAGCCCCAAATTTATCTTCTTGGAATTTGATTTGTTGAAATTTGAGCCAACGAATTTATGGATTGATTATATTACTTACTGTTCAAGCAGCACAAACTCAAGCTGCAGAATAGTGACCGCCTCAGCCGCGCCAACGTGTTGTGAGCGTACCAAAAGAGGGTAGAACTTACACTCCAAATTGTCTTAAGGAAAAATAAAAAATTAGCCTAAAGTAAAAATAGGACATGATCATTTAGCCTAAAGTACGAATGACTCCTGAATAACCCCGATCATCCCATAAATAAAAACAAAACTAGAAAGCTAATTCTTAGACACTCACACTTCTCCTCACCAAAAATTGCCTATACCCAACCCACTTGTCAAAAATCAATAAACAATCCGACTACACTCAAATTTAGCCTCGAAAAATAAAAAATAATTCGGCAAGAACAAATCATTTTTCAAATGCTTCTTTCACAATCAGTTAAACTCCTTAAAATAAAAATTTCAAAACTTTTTTAATTTCTATCAATCTTTTTTCAAATCAGTACATTTTTTATTATAGACACCTTCGAAATAATTCTTTTCATAATTTTTTGCAGTTTTTTCGTAATTTTTTATTCACTGCAAAAAATCATACCTCAACTTTGCAAAAATGCTTGACCACCTCCTCAGGTACGATATTTCAACAACTATCTAAATGTTAAGACATCTATTCAACAAGAAATCACTAAAAGAAGAAAAATGTCTTTCTTGTTGAATAATGTATTAACATTTAGATAGTTGTTGAAACATCGTACCTGAGGAGGTGGTCAAAAAATTTTGCAAAGTTGAGGTATGCTTTTTGCAGTGAATAGAAAATTACGAAAAAAACTGCAAAAAATTATAAAGAGAAAGAAATATTTCGAAGGTGTCTATAATAAAAAATGTCCAGATTTGAAAAAAGATTGAAGGAATGAAAAAAGTTTTGAAGGTTTTTATTGTCTATCTATTGTGGATGTAATTTAGTTTTATTTTATGTATTACCAATTTTGATAATTTTTTTTAAAATTTGTACCTATGAAGAAAGTTTATGTTGATTATAATATTCTTCTATGAAAATAATTAGAAGTATTGTTGCTAGTGCAAAAGTTTTTATTGCTTTTTTCATATAGTTGCATATCGTCAAAATTAGGGAGATTAAAAATGTGAAAAACATCACAAAAAGAAGAAAAGTGTCTATTTTTCACATTTTTAATCTCCCTAATTTTGACAATATGCAAATAAATTAAAAAAAGGTAAAAAAAAACTTTTGCACTAGCAACAATACTTTTAATCAATTTCATAGAAGAATATTATTGCTAGTGCAAAAGTTTTTATTGCCTTTTTCATACATTTGCATTTTGTCAAAATTAGGGAGAATAAAAATGTGAAAAACATCACTAAAAGAAGAAAAGTGTCTGTTTTTCACATTTTTAATCTCCCTAATTTTGACAATATGCAAATGTATAAAAAAGGTTAAAAAAACTTTTGCACTAGCAACAATGCTTTTAATCAATTTCATAGAAGAATATTATAATCCACATAAATTTTCTTCATAGGTAAAAAATTTAAAGAATTTTTCAAAATTGCTTATCAACAACCAACACAACAGTCCCCACCAACTACGACATCCGAGGAATCTCCAACAACACCAACATGCTGTCAGACAAATCACCCCCAATCATCAACACGTATTTCATTTCACGAAAATCCAAGTACATTTGAGGAAAGACATGCATTATTATCAGAACCTTTAGAACCCGTAGTTCGCCATGCAACTCTAAGCGAACCACAATACGATCCAATATATAATATATACCCTTCCCTCCAGCAAGACCTTAATAGAACAAGACACCCTAGTCAAAACCAAAATACGTCCACAATAGATAGACAGATCATACATCCAAGACGTAACAAAAATTTTACAACTCCCAGAGTTCATTTTAATATACCCTCATCACCAATGCCAAATCCTTTAGATCTTTCCAGTAGTACAATTCAAAGTACCCCTCCACCATTACATTCTACCCTACGACAAAATACTTCGAACATACCATCGGATTACTCAGGATCAACCCCCACATCGAAAAAAAATTCGTGAAAATCCTTTTAACCTCCCAACTTCAACACAACGTCTCCCACATTGGATGACACAAGCTTTCACTCAAGGTGAACCAAACTTGGTAAACGTCCCTATAGAAATCTGATCGGATACATCTTTGTCATTACCAGTAACCCTATCACTACCTTCAATCCCTTCAATAAGTCAAACTCCAACAACATCATTTCCTCCAAATTTCCCTACAAATTTGGACGATAGATATAAAGAACATTTAACCAATAATATACCCCTACGATTAGAATGGAATACATTTGTAGCACCCCCTCCATTATTTGGTCAACATCTTGACAGTAACTGACTACATAATTGGGCACTCAACACATTACAATATCGACACGATGTTCACAAAGACATACAGGAACACAACATACAAATCCTTACACAAGACAATTTGACACTTGAATTTGAAATAACAGTGAAATTAAACAATTTAGTTATCTCCCCATCATTCTCTCCCCCTAGATCCACCAAATATAACAGCTCAATCATTACCTCCCCCTTTTATCAGAACAAAAATTATCTATAAATACGATAGATATACAAAAAAAACACTTGGATACATCACATTCTATAACCCCATGTTCAGGACTATCCTACAAATGTATTTTTTTAATAATCCTTCTCCTTCAAACCCTCCCACATTTTACTTTTTCAGAACCAAAAATCATAATTATATTATAGTATTACACAAGTACGAGAAAGGTATCACCATTACATGTATTTGAAGATAAAAGATGTTACAAAAGAATCCCTATATTCTACAAAAATAAAGTACATTTTGTGACACACTTTCTAGAAGAACATATTTTTGGGATACAGCCGTCCCATGTGGATCTGAAAATAGCCACAATGTTGTACAGTTAAATCCAGATGAAGATAAATACAAGAAATTTTCACCAGGAAGTATCAAAGCTATTGCTAGAAACACAAATTGAGATTTACAATCAATAGGTATAAACTCTAGATCAGATATACAACATCACATCCGCACACAACAATTTCAAGAACTTCTTACAGAAATGGATTCAATACAAAGACAATCCATTGACTAAAATTTAAGAAAACTTGCAGAAACCGCAGGATTTTCAGACATCTATACACAAGACTACAGTTGATTTTTAAAAATAAAAGATTATATTTACTCAAACGGTGAAAAATACCGTCCAAAAGACCTTTCTTCTTTTGAAATTTTTAGTTTTGTAAATTTAAAGAACGAACTTCTCGCCTTTCTAGGATGGCCCTACTACATCTTAGAAAGATTGACTATATTATACGCAATGTTCAATTTTTTGGATTTCTCTTTTCATTATTGAAAGGAATTTACATTACATGCGCAATACACACTCAAGTAAACAAACAAGCAGGTGTAGCACGCATACTCTTTGCAGGATTTTTCGGAATTATTTCAACTTCAATTAACAAAATCCTTCTAGACGCTCAAATAAATGCAAACAACAAAAAACTATCAACCACACCAAATGCATATGATAATCCACAAGACAACAAAAACACAACACCATCTGCACCACAATTACACAACTTACATAATAACCAACCGTTGTCTTTAGTACCACGAATTTATAGGAATACAGCCATAACAGAGCACATCTCTACAAGCCATAGTTATCCACGAGGTCCAGTTACTCACATAATAGCCCAGCAACCAAATATTGAAGAAACGTATGAACAAATCATAGAACAGCCGCATACCACTAATTTCCGTTCTCAGAGCAGCCATCTTTTTAGCCCACGATGAGCCGCCAGATTGGATCCCTCAACCGTTCTTAGTCTTACCCATACAATCTCCAACGTCACTCTCCAAACATATCAATCTCTGATTTCACTCCCTTTTTCTCACCATCATACACTAATAATTCGCCACGCATGGATTCTGATGACTTTTCCACACACACAGTTTTTCATACCATCTCACAATTTAACAATTCTGATATTGAAACCCCAGACGAATTCGAAAATTCCGAGCCCAGCCGGTTCACTTTTTCGCAACCCCCCTTCCGACCACTCCATACCCCAACATCCGATGAACCTTCCCCAGCCCCTTATTCCTACACTGATGCAACTCCAATTCTCTCCCCTGACCAGCGACCCACCTGACTCCTTTAGCCCCGTTGATGGAGAACTCGAAATTGAACTTGATAATTTTATAACCCTACAACAACAGCTTCAAAACCCTAACACACTAACAATTCATCACCTATCGCAAACCATTACATCTTCCGAATCCTCCAACCCAGCATCCACAACTGAAGAAACCCGAGTCCACCGAATATTTAAACGAAAACATGCCAAAACCCCAATGCTTCCCAACCCCCGACCTCCTCGAAAGTTTTCCGTTCACCCACTTCACACTAACACAAAAGAATTCCTACAAATGTGCTTATCAGTTTTTTCCACAATACACTAACTATCAAACTACTAACAACGATCAACGAACTTACGTTGACGAACATGCCTTGTTTCCCACACTTTCATGGACCTCATATTACCATTTCACCAACCCATTATCACTCCCATTATATAATAATGGGAGTGATAAAGAAGACAATGAATTGTGTCACATTCGACTACATCACCAAGTACAGCACTTCATGAAAAACAATTCACAGCCATCGGACTAACCCAAACACTAAATAGGTTTGTTACACAAAAAGCAAACCGATTTTCCATTAACCACTATGATCAGGCTATTGCACGTTATAAGGAAGATACCTTTTTAGAAGACGATACTAACGCTAATCCCCAACTAACTGAAAGATTTTTCATGAAATCTCAATATGTATTTGTGATTTACTGCATGAATAAAAAATATGATCATATTACATCCACAGCACTTCGCAACACAAAAGCCAACGATCCTTATTTTGATAAATTTGACCATTTCTCACTAACTTTCAATTTCCTAGCACCAAAAGAACAAGACTTACACTGCTCACATCAAATAATATTACGCACAAAACAAACTCACACATACACTTATTATAAACTTATCCAACACCACTACACAATTAATACACCATCAGGAAACCCACAACACCGATTTCAATTTATTAACTCTAAATATACATCACCCTACTTAAATTTCACATATTGTATAAAAGACACTAATATGCAAGGTATCATCCAAAATTACGACCCCATAACACAAATGTATATATTCTGCCCACGAACCAGAACTTTCAACGTTGATGAATCTCGCCCACTAGTTGTTCCCCACGATTTTTACAGCCCGTCGAAGTCCCAATCCTAGAATATATT